CTCACATCTAGATAGACTTCTATTGACCCCGAAAAGTCGAAGGCTGCTATTGATTCCGGATAGCAGCATAATTCCGCTGCGCAGTTCCCAACTGCAACTCTGAACGCAACATCAAATGACATGCGTAGCTAGTTGACGAAGATCACCCACCAATCATCCGACAGTCCCGAGCAAACACAGACATAGCGGCGAGAAGGGTCTCAACCGCGTCATGAAACTGTTGTACATTTTCCGCCTCGAAGGAGCTGTGCCGAACGCGCGATAACTCCGTGATAAACACCTGGCACGCGGCCATCCACAAGGTCTGTCATTCACTTGTCAATCCAGTTAGCATGGCAAAATTAGAGAAAGAGTTACCCCAACTATGGCATCGATGTATCCGAAATCACTCCTCAAATTAGTCTGCCGGATAAGCTCCACAACGGCCCTCGCAGCAGAGATGACACGCGACCGCGAGAGTTCATCCGTGAGGCAGAACGGATTGTGCAATTGAATAGTCGCTACCTGTGTTAGGGTATGAATGACAAGCAGCGAACGAGAGCCGTCCGTTTCCGAGTCCAAAGGTGGCAGCGTTTGCTTAAGAGTTTCAATGACTCTGTCGAGGTTCCTAAATTCGCTGGTGAACGTGTTGGAGTTCCGGTGCGCAGTATCTAATTGTATATGTATGCAAAGGGTCAGTATTGAGTCAGTGTCCAAAGTATCGAACGGGAGAAACCGAGCTTACTTTCGGTGGAACCTACGGCCAGCCGCGAGGCCTGCTCAAAGGCGATGGCGGCTTTGGCGTGGAGCGCAACTAAGGACGTTCCGTCGTCCGGAAGATTGGACAGGAAATTCTCAATTGTTGCGCTGCTGTGCAAAGGCAACACCTGAGACTGAGCTCAACATGCCGTTTGAACGTGAAAGCCAACAAACAACGGACGCACCTGAGAATCGGCGTGGATATCGAGTGGCCACGGTGTATCTACGACCGCATATAACACGTTCGGCGGTGAGCCGTCCGCCGTGAGCCAGGTATTATTCAGCGTTAGCACGGTCCAGAACGCGTTGATGCGGTCTCCCTCCCGCACATCCGAGTCCGCGGTGGTCGACATCAAATCAACCGCATCCGCCGAACGAATTTTGTGAAAGCCCGAGCTGAGTGCAATGGACATTGCCGCACTGGCGTGATACTTTCCCTCCAACATACGCGCATTATGGAAGAAATACTGTGCCAGGAGCATTTCGGCCTGCATTGTCTGTAGAATTGCATCGGGACAGCTATTGTTCGAAAGACTTCTGGCGGAGCTGCGTAGTGCGTCAGAGAGCAGGCTGGCCTTAGGTACTGTGTCGGACCGCGACAGATGCGCTCCCCACAGATAAATGACACCGAGCAGCGCGGGACACGCGAGCTGGATGGGGGCAGCGCCAGCTGAGAGAGCTTCGAACATTTGCGGATCCAAGAAAAATCCAAGTCGAGAGGAGTGCCGCAAGAAGCTGTCGATCCTGTCGTTCTGGTGAATATTTATCGAGTCATATAGCGGTCCAACTTACAGTGCCTCAAATAATCCTGGGGATGGCTTGGGACAGGGTTCAAGTAATCGTCAAACCGTTTTAGGAAAATCATACCTGTGGGGGATGGTCTAGGCAAAGCAATTAGATGAATTTCATGTCCGTCAAAATGGAACAAACCCACATTGCGATCTCGATGCGCTAGGACCCGGACCAAACTCATCGAACCCTGGATTCGAAGAACTCGACTGATACGGGCGGTGCAGTCCGACAGACGTTCTCTCATTCGGTTTCTCGAGTTCTCGGATCCTGGACTCTATAATGGAAATTTTTTCTACCAAAAAAAAATCAATCCCTTGTATTAATCTTGGCAAATGCATGTTGCTACCTTCCAAGACTTGGGATTGTGCTAGGCCTGTCTCGGTGTATTCACAGTCATGGAGACCACCAGCGAGAAACCGAGCGCAAGGAGTGCAAATTGGTTTTTTTCCATCACATTTCTGGGTTGTTGTTGAACGTTGAACGTTGAGTATCAATTATGGTTCAATCATTAACAACCTACCACTTTGCGTCGTCTAAACCAATGATCAATCAAAATCGAACCCACGCACAATTATCAGACATGAATATTACCTGCAGTTAAAGCACGCTTGACTTTTGGAAAGCCTCGATTTCCGCGAGCTTTCTGGCGGATCCATTGAATGGAACTTTATTGTGTAGAAATCCACCACGCCAACCTTGCCACTTATATACTCCGGTTCCCTGATAACGCTGAGCAAGAAGAGGACACCCATCACGCATCTTAGCGTCCGCTAGCATTCCGAGTTGCTCTGTTCATGAGTGGTGGTGCTTACAAATGCTTGTAAATTGTGTTCAAAGTGGGGACCACAGTTCCCAGGGGCCAGGGTAGATTTAATCTCCGTGTTACAGGCCGGCGGCACAGCCTCGAAGCTGACGAAGCAACCGAAATGCCACTTTTCGGCTCCTTCAGCGACAGTTTTTGTGGTAGCGGCGTAGCCACACACCGATGAGGGAGACTATGGCCGCTATGAGCCTATCCCGGAGTGTTAGGAACTGCTGTCCAGGGCTGCGGCCATTGCAGTTTTCCGCTGGTTTTCCGTTAGTTTTCCGTTAGTTTTCCTGGTCGGTGGCAAGCGCAGAACCAAAGAATCTGTCTAGCTAGCTGACATGTCGTGATCGCGGTGTTCCGTTTGCTTTCCAATGACCTCGAGCTGCCGAACGTGCCGCATCCTGAGGCACGAGCTGCCCGAGACTAAGCAGATAGATGGCCGGCGCCTTCCGGAGCCTCATGCACGTGATTACTAGACACGTGTTGATTCGACCCACCGCAACAGAGTTCCGAGTTTCTCTTCGCTCTTCTCCGCTCTCCGCTCTATCAGTCGCTTTTCTTTCGCCTCCCACCCACCCACACCTGTTTCCTCATCTTGAGGCCGCGCGTACTGGAGTCGGGCCATTTCCGCGGTATAATCCCGATTCACTGCCCGTCTCTCCGATAAAGCATTTAGCTTATCATATATGCATCAGCGGCCGAAGGCCCACATATTCTCATACACCCATCGGCAAAGCGGCCGACGTCTACCTTGCCCACTGTCTGTGTCACTATGTGAACGGAATCTTCCGCCAGCCGCCTCCGAGTCGAAAAGTCTCGAAAATGCCAAAGTGCCGTATCTTTCACAGCTGGCGCTGTTCGATTTTGTAAAAAAGCAACATTCGATTTCACCGGACTAACCTCTGAATCCGATTATCCGAAACTCTGTACACAGTCCAATAAAAATCAACGCACAAATTGAACCATATCTCGAGCGTAGTGTACGGCACACCTCCACCTCTTCGCGTCTTTCCAGATCTGTGGGCGGATGATTTAGGTTCGACTCCTGCCGCTCGACTAGTTGGGTCCAGATCTGCTTTTTATTCGACCCATCCACTGTACAGCTCACTGAGACTGTAACCGCAAACCAACTCAACCAACTGCGCACTGATAACTGAGAGGCATCCTCTTATTTTTGTCGCATTGGGACTTTGCGAAAAAGAAATGCAACATCGCACATTCAACCAGCATACAACGTCCAACTCAAGCTGAATATCGAGCCTGGTGTACCGTGACTGCGCACCTCCATCCTGTTTAGGCAATACTCCGTGAACTGGCAGGTGGAAGAACCGGGTTCGACTCCCGGCGCTCGACTTACATAATGGAGTCGTCGATCCTTCTTTTTGAAGTTTTTCCCTTACGCTTCTTTCCAAGTACATAGCACGCTTAAAGTTTCTAATTCTTTGACCCCAAATTGATTCAGATCCATCACCGCTGCTACTCGAGTGCCGCTTTTCCCACAGTCGAAATTCTGTGTTGAATAAAATAACAACATCTACTTTCACCGCACTGTCTTCTGAATCCTAAACTCTGTACACAGTCAGTCCATTGATTTAATTCAACTTTCCAAACGAGCCAGATATCTCGAGCGTGGTGCACGGGGCACCCCCACCTCGCTTCAAGGCTTGGTGTATAAACTTACGTGTAAGCGGAAGAACCGGGTTCGACTCCCGGCGCGCGACTATCGTGGTTCAAGCCTTCTTTTTCCTACACTTATTTCTATGTAGCACTCTCAAAGCCTTTGGCCCAAGTTGATTCAGATCCACCGCCGCTAGTACTATAACTCGATTGCCGCATTTCCCACCGTTGAAATTCTGTTTTAAAAGTAACATGCAACATTTACTTTCGCCACACTGTCCTCTTCTGAATCCTGGACCCTGCGCACAGTGCCAGACAATTCAACTTGCAAAACAAGCCAGATATCTCGAGCGTGGTGTGTGGCGCACCCCCGCCTCACTTGGGCTCAAATAAGAATGATATGTAGGTGGAACTTGAAGAACCGGGTTCGACTCCCGGCGCTCGACATAGTATTCTTCCAGTCTTCTTTTTCCTTCTTTCTATGTAGCACGCTTAAAGTTTTTAACTAATTCTTTGGCCCCCAATTGATTCAGATCTGCTTAGACTGCCGCTGGTACTCCAGTGCCGTATTTCTCACCGTTGCAACTCGAATTCTGTTCCAAAAGCAACAATTATGCACAGTCCATTGAACATACAAAATGACCCGGATATCTCGAGCGTGGGATATGACAAATACCCACTTCGCCTGGTGTAAGTCGCGCCATATGGGTGGAAGAACCAAGGAAGAACCGGGTTTGACTCCCGGCGCTCGACCTTCATGATTTTTCTTCCACCCCAGTCACCCCTCCGTCCTTGCCAAAATCCAACTTTTTTGGACATAAGTAATCCCCAAAGTCCAAGTTGGTTACAGGCTGAGGCCCTTGATTATTTTCATTCCACAGTCATGATCCCAAACCAAAATTTAGAATGCTGGCGACGCGTAAACCATGGTATGATATATCCTCTCAACTGAATGCCCAACTATAGCCTAGCGTGTCATAAATGGACGCGTGGGTCCAGCCTGTGCAACTTTGGACCGAAGCAAAAAGATCAAATGCAAAAAGAACTCTCGACCTGGGAGTCGAACCCAGCTTTCGCGCGTAACACAGATATTTGGGTGATGACAAGCGCGTGTACTAACCGATATACTAGTCAAGACATGTTGTGAAGCTCAACTACTGCATCCAAGTTGTCGAGATTGCCCTCTTGGGACACAAATAGACTCAGACTGTGAAAAAAAAGCCGACAGCTAGAATTGCGGCCGATTTGTTTCCATGACAGACAAGACCATTTCAGGGCACCACCGTACTAAGCCACTGACGCTGTTAACGTTGCTCCTGAGAGACTGGCGCGAAAAGGCCGAAAGCGGAAGTGATTGCTTTGTCAGCGAATACCTCGTTTCATCAGCACTTTTCGCCCTTCAGGATTTGTGTGGTTTGCAAGGCCCTAGCGCTCGTACAAGAACAGGTCTCTCTCTGCCACATCCACCACCGTTTTCCCACTTTTTCCTGGTCTTTTTTTTCGCCTGTAATGCCGTCTGCAGACCGAAGCGACTCGCCCGATGATCGAGAAAAGGACGACGGCAGAGGGGGAGGCAAGAAATCCTCCGCGTCCAAGAGTACGCTACGACCCTGGCCCTTTGTTTTTTCACTGTGCTGAATTCCGCAGCAGCGAAAGATCTGTCCCATGTGCCGTGCAAATTCTACAAGGTCGGCTCGTGCACCGCGGGATCCTCCTGTCCCTTCTCCCACAGTCTCGTCGAGCCCGGCGGCCAGAAGGACGTCTGCGCGTGGTTTGTAAAAGGCAATTGCAAGTTTGGCCACAAGTGTGCCTTGGCCCATGTCCTGCCCGGCCAGACGATGGCCATGGACCGCAAGAACAAAAAAGCGGCACAGATCGCTGCCAGCGGCGCGAAAAATGGCGAGCCAAAGGGCCGCGGCGGGAACAAGCGCGAAGGCGGCAATGGCAGGAATGCTGCCAGTCTGCTCGCGGGCGGATCCACGGCGCCCACACGCGCAAGACCGCCCATGTCCCTCAAAGCCACAATATCGCCCTCCACCCCTGCCCCTCCTGTTAAAGACACCGATTTTGCGTCTTTTGGGGTCCTCGACGAGAGCAGCCAGCTCCCCACCGCCCCTGCCCGCAACAAGTCCCCGTCCCCGACCCTCACAAAACCGTCATCCCCTACCCTCCCTGTCTCCGCCCCCCGTCGCCCCAGCTTCAGCTCCCCCACCAAGGACTTTGGCCCCATCGGCTCTCCCCCGTCGTCTGCGACCTCGCCTTCATCCCGCATGCACTCAGGCACGCCACCAACCCAGGCCAATGGTTTCCTCTCCACTTCTCCCTTCTCCGCCCCTGGCTCCAAACCCCCGTTTATGGGCTATGGCGACAGCGGCCGCCAGGGTATGGCCGCCAGCTTGGGAAGTGGAATGGCCATGGGCGGCGGCCTCACCGGCTGGAACGCCAACGGGAATCAGGTCTCGTCGTCGCCCCTGCGCGGATCACTCCTTTCTGCGGGCAGGATGAACGGCCGCCCTACTAACGGCGACTACGACATCTCCGTCGAGTACGAGGAGCTCGGCGTAAAGACGCGGCGGAAGCCCACCCTCGAGGATTCGGAGGACCTCGAGGAATTCCTTCCGAGCTCCCTGACGGATCTTCTAACGCCCGAGGAGCGCATGCGGCGTATGTCGAGGACCAACTCTGGGCAGTCCCCAGGGATCGAGAGCTCGTCGCCGCATCGACACGGCCTCGGTGTCCCTTTGGGACACAATGCAGGCGCCGGCGCCGGCGGGGGGCACCGCTACTCACGCTCTGTCCCCGCTCCGTCCCTCCTCGGCGGCGACCTCAAATCCATATGGTCCGAGGGGCCCCCGCCGCCCCATGCCCACCCCCAAGCGTCCGGCCTCCCTGGCTCTCCCATGGGTATCGGCCCCAGCTCCTACTCCTCTGCCTCCGGCTTTGGCGGTCGCGAATTCGACGGCGCCCCCTCCTCCTTCGCCGAGCGCACCCTTCCCTCGCTCTCCCCTAGCAACGCCAGCGCCGCCTTCCTCCCCGGCATCCACCACTACATCGCGCAAAACAAGCAGCAGGCCGTCGCCGGCGTGCGCACCACGAGCAACCCCGGAAACCCCAACGGCGGCCCCTTCGCCTCCAACGCCGCCGCGCAGCAAGGCCCGCCCGGCATCGCGCACTACCTCCAGTCCGGGCCCTCGGGCGTGCACAACGCGATCAACAACCACGCGCCCTCGCCGTACGTGCGCCCGAACCCGTTCGACCTCACGCAGCAGGCCCACGCGCCGCACCCGGGCGCGCACAACGGGCCCCCGCCCGGCATCGCGCCGCACCCCCAGCACGCGGGCCTCCCCGGCGCAGGCGACACGCACATCCTCTCCCCCAACGCGCGCGCGCTGCAGGCGCACGCGCCGGGCCAGTCCCTCCCGCAGGGCCTCGCCGCGGGGTACTCGCGCATCCACGCGCTGCCCCCGCTCCCGCTCACCGCGGGCTCGCCCTCGCCCGCCGCGTTCGGCACCTCGCCCGGCGCGAATGCCAACGGGTACAACGCGTCGCGCGACTGGGCGACGATGAGCACGGGGAGCGTCAGCGGCAGCCCGGGGTTCATGAGCTTCATGAAGCCGCCGCAGGCGCCCGCCTCCACCGCTGCCTCCACCGGCGCGCCGCCAAAAGGCGTCGTGGCGAGCCCGCCGCCCTCGGCCGGGCTCGACTCGATGTTCTCGCAGCGGTCGTACTCCGCCGCGACGCGCACGAGCGGAGTGCCGACGCTCGCGGCGCCGATGCAGCGCAACGCAAGCGGAGGCCCAAAGTGGCAGGGCGGCGCGCCGATGAGCCCGCTCGGCGGGCCGGCAGTCACCGCTGCGTCTGCAGATGACGGGGACGACCTGTTCAGCCTCGACGATTAATCGGAATCACCTTGACCGCCCCGGCGGACGGTACCTCTACTTATCTATCTATGTATATAATTAATCCCGTCCGTCCCTCTTGCTTGGGTTGTCTTCCTTCCGCCCTCCTCCTTCCTCCCCTCACGTACTCCATCCATATCTCACACCGCTTGGTTTCTAACGCCCCACTTACGATCCCCTCTACATCTGTTGTGTGTTTACTAAGTACCCCGTCGAGTTCCCCTGCTCTGTCTCTGTCTCTTTCTCTGCCATCTTCTATCTCTGTTCTCTCATCCTCATCTCACCCTACCTAAGTACCCGCACTCACATCCAAATCCACATCCGCACCCGTAACCGTATCTATACACCCACATCCTACGTACCCTATCTATATTCCGTACGCACGCGTAACGGACTGACGGACTGTAGCGGCTGCAAAAAGCATCTGGCTCGGGCTCGTTGTCGTGTAGTAGTAGTATTATTACTTTCCCTAGTCCTAGCTAGACAAACAATCCAATCCAAAATTATTTTCTCTCCATTTGCGCGTTCTTCCGTCGCCCTCGTTCTGCGTACATACTACGGCAGGACTTGACACACTGTCTCGTTCTCATCCTACGTGCGACACGCGGGCAGGTCAAAGAAGGCGTCGCGCCTTTCGCAGAAAAAAACTGGTTGCTCGTAGTAGTACAGGGTTAATCCTCAAGCCTGAGCCCCCAACGTCCGTCATCCCTTTTCTGCCATCTACTCTTCTCATATTTGTCTCGTCTTTCGAGGCCCGGAACCGCAAGCGGGTAGGTATCATGCATCAAGGCCCTCAATTCCGGGACAAGGCCTGCTATGAAATCCGCACAACGGATTCAGCCGCGTCGACCGGGAATTCGGCGGGTTCCCCGATATCGAGGCTCGGTCGGGACACGCCCTCCATGCGCTGCGGCACACTCGACGCGTCGAACGCGAGGTGGAGCTCCCTAATCCGGTCGCAATCCCGCGCAAACGACACGAGCGCCAGGAACGTGCATTGCGGCTCGTGGTCGGGGTCCCCCGATCTGAGACGCAGCACCTCGATGCGCGGCCAGGCGCGCGCCATGGCGGCTGCAGTCGTGTCGTCCAGGTCGCTGTTGGAGCACGCGATGTTCAGGATCTGAAGGAGGTGGAAAATAGAACAGGCTATGCAGGGCCGGCCGGGATGGGGGCTGTCGACGCTGATGAGGAACACGAGATAGGTGAGCTGAGCGTGCTGGCAGTGCGTCGCGAAGAGGTCGTAGAACTCTTCGACCTGTGCGACATCCCCGTTGCTGTCCACTTCGAACGAGTCCAGCGCGGGGTTGTCCCGCGTGCGCATGAATGCCAGCAACGGTGTGAGTGCGACGGCAGTAGATTCGACGTCGCAGAGGCCGGAAAACATGCTGCTGTCGGGAACGCCATCCAGGATCATTGAGTCGTCCGGGATTGTAATGTGCAGGGTTTGGAGTAGGGAGATGACTTATACTTGAGTGCCGTGGAATCGACGGTGCTAGGCGTGAGAGACTCAACGCGCGTCAATGTCTGGACAAGACGCGATACCCGGCGGTGAAGTCACTCCTCAGATTCCGCCTCCGTCACTGACGAGACTGCCAATGAAGTCAGTCCAGAACACCGCCCTTCGAGCATAGTGAGTGCAAGGCCTGGGTCAGTGGGTTCGACATCGCAGTGCTCGCGTAACCATAAGCCGGTCGTGAGTCTCAGGATACGACCCTGCTGCTTCAGCTCTGACATCATGCGCTCCCCAATTTTGCAATCTCCAATGCATACTTGGGCAAAGATCAAGATGACTTCGAATCCGATCGAAGTCAGCACGAAAAATAGAGTGGACGGGTACGAGAGGAGGCGAGGGACAAGGGCAGGCAACATGCGGTGGTGGTAAGAACTTAAGTACTGAGAAGTGGCGGGTGAGGTGTTGTTTGGATCGAACGACTCGGTGATCTCGGCGAGTTGAAAGTTGAAACTTACTTCGCGCCATAAAAACGTTGTTCGAAATAAAATTTTACATTGCCTGCGGAGAATTATTATAACCAACTACAGGCGTAAGCTATTTCATTCCTAACCCATTTTCGAAGAAATTAGTGAGAACCCCGAGCGGACGCGGAACAGGTAAACGAAAGACTGGAATCCTAAAACGGTTACACTCACGCCGTCTGACATATATGGTAAATCCATTCGTAGAGGGAGGAAGACGTCTGGAAATTTAGAATGTGGCGCGTTCGACACAGACGCGACATT